CTCAGTAAAATATTTTTTATTTCAGACAATGTATTCTTTATTTCTTGTTGATCCCTTATCATTTCTTGTTGACTCCTTATTAATTCTAGTTGATCTCTTTTCATATCCTCATAGGCCTTATCCATCTTTTCTAGGAAATTCTTGAAAAACCTTATAAGCGTAGATTTGAACTCTATATCCAGACGCTTTTTGTCCTCCATTTCTTTTGTTTGTGATCTATTTTGTTGTCGCATTTCGCAGTTACAGATGGGACAGGGTTTCAGGGTGGAGCCTGCAGCTTTGGCTTCTGTCAGCCCCGCCCTATGCGGGTCTGTCAGTGCTCGCTGCCGGCGCCTCTGAGAGGAAGGTGCCCTCGATTTTCGCCTGCTGCCAAACAGTCTATGCTCTCCCCTAATGAGCCCAGTATTGGGGTTCAGTTCAGTTGGAAGTGGAGTTGGAGGTGGCGTTCAGAGCAGTCTGGAGCCCAGGTCTCCTTCCTGTCAGGGCAATCTCGCGGCACAGCCGACTGTCCCTTCTCTGCGCGCAGTGTGCACGCCTCCGGGACCTCCTTTCGCCTCTCCCCGGGGTTCCGCCTTACAGCCCGGCTCCCTATGGCTGAGCCTGAGTCCCCGGGGTCTGGCCCAGAACCGGGGTTCAGAGCAGTTGGGGGCCCAGCACAGTCGGAGCTTTTCTCTCCTTTCCGCTCGGAAACGCCCGCCAGGCACTCGGCCTCCCTCCTCTCGGGCTCTGTCCTCTCCGGGCGCCACGTCTCCGTACCTTGGCTTTTCCAGCTCCTCCGCGCCTCCTTCTGGTTTTCTCCTTGCTTCTCGCTGTAGAATTTCCAGTCAGTCAACCTTCCTGTAGTTCTGGGCAATGTTTGTTTTATATTTTAGTTGTATTTTATTGAAATTGTTGTGTGCGGCTGCGGCTAGGTGTTCACCTGGGCGCAGCCATCTTGGATCCCTACAGGTTTCCTGTCTTTCAACTCTTGATCTGAATATACAACAGCCTACTGAGCATCGATCTTGGATTGTCCATTGCAAACTAAACATAAAAATTGAGATCATAATCACCTAAGTCCTGTTTCTCTTACATTACTTCTTGTCTTGCTTTTCTAGAAATCCATTCTTAACTGCTGCCAGGGATATTTGTAAAACACCTATTCTACAGAATGGCCAGGCACTGTTTTAAGTTTAGGGATACAGCAAGATAAATTCCTGCTTTCACACACTTGAATTCTACAAATGCATCAATAAGCAAGATAAAAATCAGTGGTAGTTTTCATGCTAAGGAAGTGGGAGAGAGAGAGAGAGAGAAACATCAGTGATGAAAGAGAAACATTGATCAGCTGCCTCCTGTACCCCCCATACTGGGGTTTGAGCCTGAAACCCGGGCATGTGCCCGGGAATCTAATGACCTGGTTCATAGGTGAACACTCAGCCACTGAGCCACACTGGTTGGGCTGGGGAGCTACTTTAGACTGGGAGGTCAACAAAGGTCTTGCGGAAGAGAAGACTAGAACTGCCAGGCTCAGAGTTGAAGGACAAAAAGGAGATCTCTAGATGAGGGAGGAAGCATTCTAGCTAAGGGATCATGTCACCTCCCTCTCCCCCACCAACGAATTCTTGAAGTGGCTTCCCAAAGTCTTTAGTATCTAAGTCCAAACTTCGTAGCATGGAGAGGTCCCCTGGCATCTGGCCACTTGCCTTCCTCTAGTTTCTTTACATGACATTAACTCATTCAATCCTCAGAACCACCCTGTAAAATAGCAATAAGGCTGGTTGAGTTCCTGGGTTATGTCTTACTCATCTTTGTACAAGATCACTGCATTAGCCGTTGGCTTAATACATGTCCCTTAAATAAGCACGGTGTTGGCAAAAAGGATGATTTCTTAGTAAATGTACAGGTCTAGACGCATGCTGTCCACAAAACTATCAAGTGAGCTATGTAGGTAATTTATAGTTTTCTCATCGCTATATCAGAAGTAAAGAAGCAGAGGAGCCCAGCCAGTGTGGCTCAGTGGTTGAGCATCGGCCCATGAGCCAAGAGGTCACTGGTTTGACTCCTGGTCAGGGCACATGCCTGGGTTATGGGCTTGATCCCCAGTGCGGGGTGTGCAGGAGGCAGCCTATCGATGATGTTTCTCTTTCATGATGTTTCTATCTCTCACTTCCTCTCTCTTTAAAGATAAACAATAACATTTTTAGCCAAAACCGGTTTGGCTCAGTGGTAGAGCGTGGGTCTGCGGACTGAAAGGTCCCAGGTTCGATTCCGGTCAGGGGCATGTACGTTGGTTGCGGGCACATCCCCGGTAGGGGGTGTGCAAGAGGCAGCTGATCGATGTTTCTCTCTCATCGACGTTTCTAGCTCTCTCTCTCTCTCCCTTCCTCTTTGTAAAAAATCAATAAAATATATTAAAAAAATAAAGATAATAACATTTTTTTAAAAAGCAGATGAAGTTGTAATAACATTTTATTTAAATATCAATATAACACGACTAACAGTTATCAGTGAGATACTTTGCGTTCTTTTCATTATAAACCTTTGAATTCCAGTGTGTGTGTTTCACACATCACATCTCGGTTTAGACTGGTCACATTTCACGTGCTCTACAGCCCCTTGCAGCTGGCTGGCGGCTGCCTCCTCACTTACTGACCGCCTAAGGCTACCCACCCCTCCCACCACATGAGACAGGTGAGCCAGTTAACAGCTGTGGGCCAGCTCTGACAAAAGACTGCTCACATTCCTGTATATCTGTTGGAATTTAGGATTAATTTATAGTTGTCTATTTCTCCAATTATCCCAAAGAGACAATAGTTAGATGCCGCAGAATCCTGGGAGACTGCTTATTTGCACATGCACTTCCAATCTGCTGCCCACAGTTAATGCACAGGAACAGACACTTAAAAAGAACAATCACAAAAGTTTATTCAATGTACAGCAGGCTCCAAGACAACAATTATTCTAGCTATAGGTGGCAAGAGATGTTATGACAGAGAATCCAGATGTTAAAACGGGAAGGGAGTGAAGGATCACCATTGCCCCACGCTCAAGGAGCAGCTCACTTTTTGTCAGATTTCTTGTGGGAACCCCTTTCATTTCCCATGTGGTTCAGGGTTCGAGTTCTGGCGAAGGCTGAACACAAATGAAAGAGATTTAGAAAAGTATTAATTTGGGAATATTGGGGGCCAGGTGGGAGCCCAAGAGAGGACTACACCCCGCTGTGGCCTCGCTATCCCTTTTTATTAAGACTATGGGATACACCCATAGTCTTTAGGCAGGAAATCCAATAACAGAAATTTATGTAAGACTAATGGGGGGCTGTTTCAGCTAACAATGTTCCAAACAGTGAGTGAGAGCTCTGACCTTTCAGAGCAATTAAGGTTGTTGACTAGCCTTCTGGGTTTCCTGTCTACATCTTTCTATTAGTGAGACAATGATCAGTTTCCGGCAATTTCTTTCTTTTTTTTAAAATATATTTTATTGATTTTTTACAGAGAGGAAGAGAGAGGGACAAAGAGTTAGAAACATTGATGATAGAAAAACATCGATCAGCTGCCTCTTGCACACCCCCTACTGGGGATGCACCCGCAACCAAGGTACATGCCCTTGACCGGAATCGAACCTGGGACCTTTCAGTCCGCAGGCCGACGCTCTATCCACTGAGCCAAACTGGTCCCGGCTATTTTATTGATTTTTTACAGAGAGGAAGAGATAGGGATAGTTAGAAACATCAATGAGAAAGAATCATCAATCAGCTGCCTCCTGCACCACCCCTACTGAGGATGTGCCTGCAACCAAGGTACATGCCCTTGACCGGAATCAAACCTGGGACCTTTCAGTACGCAGGCTGACACTCTATCCACTGGGCCAAACCGGTCTTGGCACGGCCGGCAATTTCTTAATTCTACCTGTGGCCAGATGGCCCTTCACCATCTTGACTTTTAGTTCCTCAAGTTTCTTCTGCTCCTTTTTTTGCTTCTGCTTGAATGCCTTTTCTTTCTTCGCAGATTTCCTTGGGCTGCTTCTGGCCATTTGGTCAGAGCATCCGCTTCGCACGCCCAGGTTGCAGGTTGGGTCCTTGGTACCAGCACATACAAGACTCAACCAAGGAGGCCTGCCCGTGCAGCAGGGTGGTTGAGCAGGATGTGAACCAGGAGGTTGTCCATGGGTTCCGGTCAGTGCACATGCGGGGGGTTGCAGGTTCCACCCCCAGTAGGGGGAGCAGGAGCCAGCCTACCTATGATTGTCTCATCATTGATGTTTCTGTCTCTCCCTCCCCCTTCCTCTTCTCTGAAATCAATAACAGCATAAAAAAAAGAACCAACCAATGAATGCATAAATAAGTGGGACGACAAATCTAGATTGCTCTCTCTCTTTACACCTTCCTCTCTCAAAAGATAAAAAAGTTAAAAAAAAACACAAACATTTGCAAAACTCCAGTAGGATGGACATGTTGCCTTTCCTACCTAGCATGCTGCCAGTGGTTTAGACGCCATGCCCGAAAAGTGGCCTTATTTTTTATTTATGTATTTTGCTAATAATAAATAAACCCTTTCTTTTAGACACTTCAGCAGTGGAAGTTAAGATGTTTTGTTGAACCGAAACCGGTTTGGCTCAGTGGATAGAGCTTCAGTCTGCGGACCCGGTTCGATTCCGGTCAAGGGCATGTACCTTGGTTGCGGGCACATCCGCAGTGGGAGGTGTGCAAGAGGCAGCTCATCGATGTTTCTAACTTTCTATCCCTCTGTCTTCCTCTCTGTAAAAAATAAATAAAAATGTATTTTTTTTAAAGACTTTTTGTTGAACTCATCTATTTCATCTTTGCAGCCCTTACCAGTCCCTCAAATTCTCTCATTTGTTTGCGAGACACTCCCCTCATCCAACCCCCTCTTCCCCCCCAGGCTGGGGCCCGCCTGGCACCGAGCAGGAGCTCAGTACAGTTCTGAGCACTATCCCTGCTCGGTCCGCCTCCAGGGGCACCGCGGCCCCCGCCCTTCCCGACGGCCTGAGACCGCGGACGTGACTGGGAGGAGCCTGGCCTGGAGTGCGCGCTGGCCGCGGGGCGCGGGCGCCATGGCGGAGCCCACCGTGTGCTCCTTCCTCACCAAGGTGCTGTGCGCGCACGGCGGCCGCATGCTCCTGCCGGACCTGCGCGCCCACGTGGAGCTGTCGGAGGCGCGGCTGGGCGCGGTGCTGCGCCAGGCGGGGCCCGACCGCTTCCTGCTGCAGGAGGTGGCGGTGCCCGCGGGCCCCTGGGACCCCGAGGCCGAGGTGGCGGCGGGCGCGGGCGGCGCGGGCGGCGGCCCCGCGGCCTGGCGGGTGGTGGCCGTGTCCTCCGCGCGCCTGTGCGCCCGCTACCAGCGCGGCGAGTGCCAGGCCTGCGCCCAGCTGCACCTCTGCCGCCGCCACATGCAGGGCAAGTGCCCGCACCGCGACTGCTGGTGAGCGGGGCCGGGGCGCGGGGGCCGGGAGGCCGGGGGCGCGGGGGGCCGGGGGGGCGGGGGGCCGGGAGGGCGCGGGGGACGCGAGGGACGCGGGGGGCGGTGGGGCGCGGGGGTCCGGGGGCGCGGGGGGCGGGGACGCGGGGGTCCGAGGGCGCGAGGGAGGGGGGATCGCGGGGGGCCGGGGCGGTGGAGCCGGGGGCGCGGGGGGCCCGGTGACCGGGGGGCCGGGGCGGGCGTCCTCCCGGACGCAGGCGGTATCACGACCCCCCCCTCTCGGGCCTAGACCCTCAGGCTGGAAGCGGGGGCCCGGGGGTGGCGCCCTCCTGGGAAAGGGCGGAAGGGAAGCCTGGGGGACGCCTGGCTTGTGTTCCCAGCTCCGGCGCCGCAGGAGGCGGGAGCTCAGGGCAGTTTGGATTTCTTTTCTTTCCTTTTAAAAAAAAATAATATATATTTTATCGATTTTTTACAGAGAGGAAGGGAAAGGGATAGTTAGAAACATCGATGAGAGAGAAACATCGACCAGCTGCCTCCTGCACACCCCCTATGTGCCCGCAGCCAATGTACATGCCCTTGACCGGAATCGACCCTGGGACCTTCCAGTCCCCAGGCCAACGCTCTATCCACTGAGCCAAACCGGTTTCGGCCAGTTTGGATTTCTTAGGCGCTTCTCATCCCTGGTCGCGCGGGTCCTCCGTGACTCGGCCCTGGTAAGCCAGGATTGGGACTTGAGAGTTGTCTCCGGTGCTTCTTTTGGGGGAGCATTTGCGAATCCCGTCAGGGCCTTGGGCCCTTTATGCAGAGATTGCCTCCTCCCACCCAGTCACGAAGTTTTACGGAAGCTAATCTCTCCTCTCTGGGTTTATAAAGACCTATCTGGTCCGACCCCCAGGAAACGGAGAGGTGGTTGACTTCGGAGAGGCCTGCTGAGCCTCGCGTGGTTTACTCCAGCTCCCCAAAGTGGGGGTGAGGGCGGTCCTTCTTTTTAACGTCGGTGGCTTGTGGTGGTGGGCAGACAAGTGCACTCACCTGCAGAACAGGTGGGCACCCCCTGTCAGGGCGGGCGACTGGGGGTGGGGGCTACCCTTGGCTTTTCAATATCCTCGTTTAAAACGAAGATGACCTTGGGAGCGGAGTTGCATCAACCCAGCTTTCCTATTACCAGAGCTTGTCAGGCTGCAGTACCTGGTGTCCCTGTTTATTGACTTCACATGCAAGTTGAAAGTGACTGTAGGCAAAGAATTGGACAGATTGGCCGCTTCACCTAGGCCTGGTCGGCAAACTGCGGCTCGAGAGCCACATGGGGCTCTTTGGCCCCTTGAGTGTGGCTCTTTCACAAAATGCCACGTGTGTGCGCGTGCGCGTGCATGTACTGTGCGATTGAAACTTCCTGGCCCACGCGCAGAAGTCGGTTTTCGGCTCCCAAAAGAAATTTCAATCGTTAATATTTGGCTCTGTTGACTAATGGGTTTGCTGACCACTGACTAGGCTTCTGATGCAGAGCCTTTGTGTTCCAGGTCTACCTGTACCCTTTCCCATGATATCCACACACCTGTCAACATCCAAGTGCTGAAAAACCATGGGCTTTTTGGCCTCAATGAGGCCCAGCTTCGGATTCTGCTCTTACAGAACGACCCCTGCCTTTTACCAGAGGTGAGTCACCAAGGAGCCACCCTCCCTGTCTGCCCAGTGGAAAGGTCAGGGGAGAGCAGGCAGCCTCAGGTGTACGGGGGGTGGGATGGTGACCTTTTCGGACTCTCTGGTTTTACTGGATTCTTATACTCAGGGAGGGATGGACTCCCCCATGGTATAGAAGTAATTATAAAGGCTCTTGGTTTTTTGAGTGTTTACTAGATGCTAAGCAATTTATATACATTAATAACTTGCCCCCATCTTTTAGGTGTGGAAACTGAGTCTCGGATAGGATAGATTAACTTGCCTTGGGTCACATAATAAATGGCAGATTTGAATTTAGGTCTGTTTACGAAGCTGGTGTTTTGTGAATTGCCCGTTTATGCTTTTGCCTATTTTTTTTTTTTTTTTGAGGCATTTGTCTTTTCCTGTTAATTTATAAGATGTCTTTAATAATAAAAATTTATTTTCTGGTCATATTTGTTACAAATATTGACCCCCATTTACTTTTTGGGGGGCCTTAGATGTAAATTTTAATTGCTTCAAAGCAACATGATTCAGTTTTATACTTAAAAAATACCCATTATAACTGCTATAATGGTGAATGAAGTTAGTATGTTTGTATCTGTTTAGCTAGACACAAATACTTTTTAAAAATAAAATAGTTGGATTTCTAGCTCTGGCCTGGTAGCTCAGTTGTTTGGAGCATCATCCTGATGCTCCAAGTTTATGAGTTTGATCCTCCATGAGGGCACTACCAGAGTCAACCAATGAATGCATAAATGGATGGAACAGCAGGCCAATGTCTCTCTCTCTCTCAAATCAATACATAAATTAAAGCCCTGGTCAGTTTATTCAGTGGTTAGAGTGAAGGGTCTTGGGTTCAATTCCCGGTCAAGGGCGTGTGCCTCAGTTAAAGGTCCGAGCCCTGGTCCTGATTGGGCTTGTGGGGGAGGCAACCAGTGGATGGTCCCTCACATTGATGTTTAGCTCTCTTTCTCTCTCCCATTTCTCCCACCCTTCTTCTCTCTCTCTCTCTCCCTTCCTCCTTCTCTCTCTCTCTCTCTCTCTCTCTCTCTCTCTCTCTCAAGATCAATGAAAAAAATATCCTCAGGTGAGGATTAAAAATGTATTTATTAAAAAATAGTTAGAACCCCTAAAATAAAATTTTATAAGAGACCACCAATTAAAAGTTGAGTTTTCTAGTCTGGCACAGTGATTTTTGCCAGAGGAGGGAGGAGAAGAAGGGAGGTGTTGGGAAGGAGAGGGTAGTTTGTGGCTGTGGCCCCATTTTAACTAAGAGATTGCAGGGTCTGGAAGGGAGAAAGGCCCAAAGCTGGAGCCTGTGGTTCAGATGGCAGAGGCTGCCCTCAGGGCAGCATCTTGTACCCACAGGCAGCACTGGCATCAGCCCCAGGAGCCGGGAGCTTTCTTCTTGGCGCCCATCCCCTTTCTCATTTCTTCAGATGGGTGAAGCCAGGCCAGGTATGTCCTGAGTCAGGAGCATTCCAACTGCGTCGCCAGGAGGGACACAATGCCTGCTCATCTTTTCTGTGCGTGAGCTTAAGATCGATGCGTGTGTTTAGAGTTGACAGCCTGACCCATCATTATAAAGGTCCCCACCAGGAGGATCTTGGTTCGCCTGGGTCAGACCCAGTTTACATCTGTTGCCCTAATGTAATTATTAATAATGCTTCCTAAAAAAATGCCCTTGTCTGGCTGACGAATTGTCTGTTCCCACTACCTGTCTAGGTTGGTTTCCCCACACAGGGATTTAGGTGTGTGATTTCTTGAAGTAGGGCTCCTTGCAAAAACTTGCTAAGATTTAAAAAAAAGGAAGCAGGTTACAGGGAAGGACAAGCTACACACACAAGACAAAATCAGGCCTTGACTTGACTCATTGTGGGGCCCGAGCTGCAATCACACTGAAGAATGGCGGCAAAGGGCCAGCCTTTATACCTGCTTAGAATTCACTCATTGGCTACAGACTTTGGGACAGGAAGGTAGGTCCACAGAAGGTCAAAATCAGAGAGAGGCAGCTGTGAGTTAGCAACAGCTGGGGGGAGATCTGGGCGGGAGTAACTACCCATCTGCCTTCCCCCCAATGATTTTATAAAAAGTGCATTTTTTTTTTCCACCCAAGGGTATTTTTTCCATTGATTTTCAGAGAGTGGAAGAGAGAGGGAAAGACAGAAACATTGACATGAGTGAAACACATCGATTGGTTGCCTCCTACACCCGCCCTGACCAGGTTCGGGGTGGAGAGAAGCCTGCAAACGAGGTATGTGCCCTTGACTTAAATAGAAGCTGGGACCCTTCGGTCCGCAGACCCGTGCTCTATCCACTGAGCCAAACTGGCTAGGGCCCACCCAGTGATTTTAACAGCCATTGGTGACCAGAGGTTGCCAGTTAGAGAAATTGTTATTTATTGGCTTAAAAGGTACAGTGCAAACCAGTGTTTTCAGCGTTGCCTCACTTCTCTCCCAGGTCTGTCTGTGCTACAACAAAGGGGAAGCCCTGCATGGCTACTGCATCCTCAAGGACAAATGCAACAAGTTTCACGTGTGCAAGTCCTTCGTCAGGGGGGAGTGCAGGCTTCAGAAATGCAAACGGTCCCACCAGCTCATCCACGCCGCATCCCTGAAGCTGCTGGAGGACCAAGGACTGAATGTTTCCAGTGTCGTCAATTTCCAGATCATCTCTACCTACAGGCACGAGAAGCTGCACAAGATGCTGGAAAATAAAGGTGAGAATGTCAGAGGTAGACAAAACTCTGTCACTGATGTAGTTTTTAAACACACATACACACACACACACACATTTTTATTGATTTCAGAGAGGAAGGGAGAGGGAGAGAGAGAGAGAAACATCAATGATGAGAGAATCATTGGTTGGCTACCCACCTGTATGCTCGCCCTGCATAGGGAATCAAGCCTGCAACCTGGGCATGTGCCCTGACTGAGAATTGAAATGGTGAACCCCTGGTTTATAGGCCGATGCTCAACCACTGAGCCGTGCTGGCCAGGCCTCACACTTAATTTTGACCTGAAAGTGAGTCTGGGGAGAAAGGACTTCACGTGTGTCGAGCTCTGTCCTAGGGCAGGTCAAGGACAGTCAGTGTTTTATGATACAGAACTGTGATTGTCACCAAAGCAGGGAAGGGATGGAGTTTATGTTCAGGGCTGCCAGCTGATGCCACCTGTCCCGTGCTTGAGCAGTGTAGCTCCTTGGTAAGTTGGGGGCCAGGAAGTAGATCGACCAGTCATCGTCGTCGTCGTCGTCGTCGTCGTCTTCTTTTTTTTTTTTTTTTTAACAGAGAGGAAGAGAGAGAGATAGAGAGTTAGAAACATCGATGAGAGAGAATCATCGGTCAGCTGCCTCTTGCACCCCAGCCCCCTTCACACCTCCCACTGGAGATGTACCCACAATCAAGGTACGGTACATGCCCTTAACCGGAATGGAACCTGAGACCTTTCAGTCCGCAGGCTGACGCTCTATCCTAGGGGTGTCGAACTCAATCAGAGAAGGGGCCAAAATCTAAAATCCAGCCTAAATTTTGGGCCGAATTGTTTACTGAACAGTCATAAACTGTCATTGTGATGGAAACGCAGTGGAGTGCAGTGATGACAGCGTGGTGCGGGCCACATTGCAAGGCCTGGCGGGACGGATTTGGCCCGTGGGCCTTGTGTTTGACACATGTGCTCTATCCAATGAGCCAAATCGGTTTCGGCAGGCAGATAGACCAGTCTTAAGAGCTCCATTAGGAAAAGAGAGGAGGGAGATGGACCAGTGACTAGGAAGGTAAGGGATGGCTTTTATTAATATTAAATTGAATTAAAGTTTTTTTCTTTTTTAATTGTTAGGAGATTTTAAGCACATTATTGAAAAATTTGGATCATAGAATAAAGATAAAAATTGCAAAAGATCGCTCATTGAAATGCATAGTAATTGTTACCATTTACTCAAAAGCCCTTCAGTTTTGTTACTCTATGAAGACTAGTCCAGTTGTAGTTAAAATATGTTTTGGTTTAGCATCTTAAACTGTCACTCTGTACAACATCATAACCATCTTCCCATCTCGCTGCTTAGTCTGTCACTTTTTAAGGTCTACAAAGTATGATTTGGTGTTCTTTTATATATATATATTTATATGTGTGTGTGTGTGTGTGTGTGAGTGTGTGTGTGTGTGTGTGTGTTTAATTGATTTTTTTACAGAGGAAGGGAGAGGGATAGAAAGTTAGAAACTTCGATCAGCTGCCTCCTGCACACCTCCTACTGGGGATGTACCCGCACCCAGGATACATGTTCTTGACCAGAATTGAACCTGGGACCTTTCAGTCTGCAGTCTGATGCTCTACCCACTGAGCCAAACCAGTCTGGGCTGGTGTTCTTTTCATTAGAATGCATTCAGGTTACTTATTCTGTTAGATTTGCCTGTAGCTGAAGATCAGTTTCACTGGGTGGTAGACTCAGGAGAATTCTTGATGGGAAAACCGTATCACCAAATCAGAGTCTCTAAGCTTTTACTATGGACCTTGCTTATGTTGGGATGGCAGTGGCTGACCTGCTAGGCAGGTGGGGAGAAGGTGGGGAGGGCTTTGCCTAGGCTGGTGTGGGAGGCTATCTAAGGACCCTGAATGGTGGCAGGGACCTTCTGCTCTGTATTATGTATAGGGCCTGTCATTATCTTCATCTGCTCTTGTTTTGTGGCTCTCCCCTAACTATGCAATAGTTTCTTTCTGCTTGCTCTGTGTGTGTTTAATACATACATATATACGTGTGTGTGTGTGTGTGTGTGTGTGTGTGTGTGTGTATTTAAAATATATTTTTATTGATTTCAGCTAGGAAGGGAGAAAGAGAGAGAGAGAAACATCAGTGTTGAGAGAAAATCATTGATTGGCTGCCTCCTGCACACCCCACACAACCCAGGCGTGTGCCCTTCACCGGAATTGAACCTGGGACCCTTCAGTCTGCAGGCTAGCGCTCTTTCCACTGAGTCGAACTGGCTAGGGCTACTATATTTTGAATCCAGAAGACACAAACTCTCCAAATTGAGACTTCTTTCTGAGGTCTGATTCGCTGGATGAATGCTCCCAATAAGAAATGAAATTTAGAAATGGTACAAGGAGTGTCTTAGGAAAGCTCATCTCTTCTTCTTCTTAGATAATTCATCTGCTTCTGTGGAGCACTCCCAGGGCCTTGAGAAGCAAGGAAGACCAGCTCCTGGGGCTGCAGAAGCCCGTCCCCCGGCTTCTGCCCCTGCCCAGGCGGCCAAGAAGCCAAGCGCAGGTAAACCGTGAAGTACGTCGCTGAAGGAAGAAGAAGCTTGTCCAGTGGGAAGGTCTGAAAACAAAGCTTCCGTTTTGAGCTTTGATTTGTAGCTATTCATTCATTTAATGATTTCTTTAAAATACCTACCTCACAGGGTGTTGTGAGAGTGAAAGGAGACAGAAAAGGAGACATTGTCAGATGTGGAGGGTACGGTTGGGGATGAGGTTGGACCTTGAGCAGGCAAAGAGAGGGTAAACGGGGGTGCAGATGGAGTCAGTGCTGGGCAAGCCCTGGGACGGCAGTTCCCGAGAGCTTTCCCGGGCTGGCCGGCAGAGCTCTTAGAGAGGCAGGTTTTGCTGACTGGCTGTGTGACCCATCCACATGTTTGTATGCCCATATATACAGTTTGAGTACGTTGACTTCATAAGCATCTTCTCATATTTGTTCATATTTATCACTTTTATGCACAGATATATTAGTATATCATAGTTTTCTTAACTGTTTCCCTTATTCTGGGAAATTTTGATTCTAACATTTTGAATATAACTCTTTTCTTATAATCCACACAATATTGAATTTTTAAAGTTAGTCTTTTGCTTAGCTTATAGTTGCAAAATGATAGTTGCTGTCTTTTGGTTTGCATTTCTTCAAATGTATATGCGAGTGAATATTTGTATGTGCCTGCTTTCTGTAGGTCTTTGTTTTGTGCATTTTGTTAATTACGGGGGCCTGTAATTACCTCCTTTGTGCCAGTGTGGGATGGCCGTTAGTTAGGCTCCTTAATTTTTATGAAAGGCTGTGCTCATATAATATTCATCTCTGTGGTTACATCCTCAGGCAACCCGGAAAGTATATAACTTTTGGGTGTTCGCCAGAGATTTCTACCTCACTTCTATTCTGCTCTTATGAAACTTTGTCCAAAGCCCAATTGCTGAGGTTTGAAGGATGTGTAGTTCATCCATTCCTCAAAATTGTATTCTTTCTTTTATGGATCACGATGGACCATCAGAGATCTATATACCTCGCTCTCTTCATGTTCACTTCCCCCTCCCTCTCCCATCTTCCCTCTCCCAGATGTCTTCCTCTGGTGATGCTCAGATGTTTGGTTCTTTGTTCCCATCAAAGGGTACCCCAGAGCAGCACTTTATGGAACCCTTCCCTGTGTTTGCTGTCGCGACATCCCCAAATGTCTGTGTGGAGTGTTTTTAGAAATACTTACCTGTCCTGCAATAGCATGACATTTGAGAAATAGGGGCAAGGTAGTGAGTTTTTCGTAAGGCTAACTTTACTTAATTTAGAAAGTTTTTTGTTGTGAAATTCTGTCTTTTGCATTGGGGGAAGTATTTTTTTAAAAAATATCCTTTGTAAAAGGAGAAATTGCTGTGTTTCTCCTAATGGACAGTGAAAGTCATGCAACTTTTGTTACTCTTTTCGGTTTGGTTGTCAACAGTGGTGTTTCTGAAAGCCCTCACAGCGTGCATGTCTTGTTTCTCCTTCCTTTCTGATTTCTCCTGGTGCTAATTTTTTTTAAAAAGTATTTTTACATTTTATTAGCATCATTATTTACATTATATCCTTGTACTACGTATATTTTTGTTGTAAACCATCTTCAGTTCTTAATGGAAACAGTGTAGTAGATAGATGCATATCCTTCACATTAAGAGACTTGGTAGACTTTTATATTATTGTGTTTCCTTCATGTATCTTATAATTATGTGCTTATATATGAAGTTACTGACCCTTTGTAATCTTTGTTGCAATATTTTCTTCAATTCTATAATATTTTAATTTTAGTTTTTTGGTATTCATTCTGTAGAAATATTTTATGTAATCATACCTGACAATCAGCTGTTACAGAGTTAGACTCAGAGATAAGTTTTCTTTGGCAATTTATTGGGCCTTATGAGATGAAGCTATACATCTCTAGGCTCCACAAATTCAACATATTCTAAATTGAAGGATTACATTTCTCCCAACTGTTCTCCTTTCCCCCTTTAAAAAAAAAAAAAATGTTGACGTTTTCACATCTAATGACTTAAGCCCAAAACCTGCAAAGTGCCCTAATACTCTTCTTTCTCCTGTTCCCAATGTCAGATTGGTTACCTAATGTTGGAGATTTTCCCCTTCAAAAATCTATCAAATTTTTATCCTTGTCAATGCCTTTTTTCACATTCCCCCTGCGTGCCTTATTTAAAACCCTCCTCACCTCTTCTATTGTAGAACTCGGTGGTTTTCAGGTCTTGTGAGTGTTTTGTGGGAGGTGCTAGGTTATTCTCCTTCCATGATGCCCCATTTCAATTGTTGATGTAATAGACTTTTGTGGATTTCTTTGATCTCCTTAACGCCCTTCTCTCCCTCTGCCTTCCCTTTTGCTGCCTGGTTGATCATTTGAAATCCAGTCCTAATCATATTGCTTTTTCCTGCCATTACTTTTATTGGTCCCGGTCACGTAGGATATGAGTCATAAACTCATACAGCTACAGGGACCAGAAAGGGGAGTTATGGATGAAATGAGCTGGAGGTAAGAGGAAGGGGGTAAAGAGGAAGAGCTGTGGCAAATTGTCCCATCGAAAGGGGGCCACTGCCTCTCCTTTTCGTGTGAGAACTTGGTCCAGTTTGTTCAATTGTCCATTTTGACAAAAGAAGCCAGAAAGCCAGATTTTCTGATCTTTAAATATTACGTTTTTAAAATGCAGGCCAATATTGTGTGTGCTGACCTACTTGCGGCTTTTGATCCTGTGACTCTGCGTTTGTAAGTTCCCTCTCTCTCGGTGTCCCCCTTCTTCCCTTCACCTGCCTTAAAACCTGGTAAAATTTGGTTCTTTAAATGCCGGTTAAGGAGAGTCCTCAGCTCTCTAGCATAGCACTTACTCCTTTGTATTGCAGTGCCTTGTGCTTTTTCCCTATGATTGAACAGAAATGTTATTTTCTTGGGAATTCTAACTGGTATTTAGATATTTTAAGTATGTAAATCTATACATTTATAAATAAAATTCATTTGTATTTTATATGTGCATTTAGTAATTTTTTTTGTTTTTATTGCTATATACTCAAAGTATATTTTTTTTTCTGAGTGCTGTTTTGAGTTTTTGTAAACTGATTTATAATGTCATTAATTTTTTCCCAGCTCTTTTGAGAAATAATGGACACATAACATGTGGAAGTTTAAGGTGTGCAAGGCTATGATTTCATGCATTTATACTTGCAAAATGATGACTACAATGAGGTTAGTTAGCACATTTATCACCTCACATTTATTATTATGTTAACAATAATGTATTATTGTCTCATTGAGTTACTCTTTAATATTATTTAGGAATACTTTTACAAAAAAATTTTTTTAATATAATATATCATTATGGAAATTTTGGAGAATACAGGAATGTATTAAGAAGTAAGTAATTATCCATAATACTACTGTGTAGAGACAATCACTGTTAGTATTTTAAGATATCTTTTTCAGTCATTTTTTTCATGTACATATTCTTAAATATTGAGAGTATACCATATATACAATTTCATGTTATGTTGTTTTGAACTGACATTATTTGCTAACCATTTTCCTATATAATTGAAAGCACTAACAATTATATGTGATGATTTTGTTAAATTTTTTTATATATATCATTTATTTAATCATAGTCCTGTTGTTGGATATTATTGTTTGCTACATTCTGGTACATAAATCTTTGTCTGCGCTTCTGATCATTTTCTTAGATGTGGCTATCCTGTACCAGAGGTATGAATAGTTTAGTCAAAAAAGCATTTTGAAAATGCCCAAGTGGCTGGACCATTGACCCTCTCAGCAGTGTGGGGATTGCCACTCTCCAGCAGCGTGTGCTGAAGGTACTTCCATTGGGATGGAAGACACAGGGTACCTTTTGTTTCTAATGAGTTCTTCTGAGCAGGCATTTAGAAAAGTACATTGGTACTAATTGCTACTTAACTACACGTTAAAGGCTCTATTTTAATCTGCTAGGCATTAGCATTATGATGCTGTGTGCAGTTTCTGATGTTTTATCTTTACTGAGATTATCTGCATGGTCAGGTTGTATGAGTGTGTGGTGTGTGTGTGTGTGTGTGTGTGTGTGTGTGTGTGTGAACTGACCGTGCATTTATCTTACAAGGATAAAGTTTTATTCTCCTGGGGCCTCCGAGGTGTTCCCTCTCAGGTGTTTATGTCCCAGTACATTTTTGTTTTATGCAGAAAGTGAGACTGCCTCCCTCTCATACACATGGCAGGCCTCGGTTCAGGGAAGCGTCTGCTGACCTGAGTTGACCGTGTCTGCTTTCAGGTTTGGAGGGGCTCCTCTGGTCGAGGAAAACTCGGGAATGCCTCAGACAGACCATCCTGTGGGTCACACCTCTCCAGGCCCATCACTGCACACCGGAAAACAGAAAGCATCTTCCTTGTTCGATCTCGTCTCAATATGTTCACGTTGCTCCCTCTGGTCTCTCCAGGTGCTGGGGTTCCTGACATCTGAAACTTCTTCGGGAAACAGTGTCTGGCTGGGCTTCTTTGGGTCACTGCGTCTCCAGCCATAAGCCCCTGCACCCACTGTAACCCCATTCCTCACACCTACCCTGTCACAGGAGGTGGGAAGGAGTTTTCCAAGTGGCTGCATTGCTGGGCTCCCCATCACTCACTCACCTCGCTGGCTGAGGAGTCCCTGCACTGGAGCACCAGGCACAGGGACAGCGGCTGCTGGCTGCGTGGGCAGAGCGCTCTGTGTTAGTGACCTGGGTGACGGAGGCGCATAGAGTCCCACCACACAGCTGCCCTGGCTTCACAGCCCACCATCCTCCTCTTCCCTCCAGGACTCTCCACGGAGAATCCAGTGAGTGTCCAAACCGCTCCAACTCAAAGACGCATCACCCATCAGAGCTCACACATAATGTAAAGATACTAGAGGCCGAGCACTGGGGCTCAGGGTCCCTCAGCCCGGCCTGCGCCCTTTCATAGTCAGGAGCCCTCGGAGGATGCCCAGTTGACGGCTTAAGATCGCTATCCATTCTAAGCCACAGTCAGACATCCTTAGTGCTACCACGGAGGCAGGCTGCTGCGCCCCCCAGCCATCAGCCCGGCTTGTGGCTGAGCAGCACTCCCCCTGTGGGAGTGCACTGACCAGCAGGGGGCAGCTCCTGTGTTGAGCATCTGCCCCTGGTGGTCAATGTGCGTCATAACAACTGGTTGTCCTGCTGTTCGGTCAATTTACATATTACCCTTTTATTATATAGAATTATTACGTAGGATATCATCATTGCCTGGTTGCTATGGGTCAGTTGCTTTATCGTTGACTCATGCACTAAGAGATTGCTGGTTCAATTCTTGGTTAGGGCACAGGCTTGACCCCCAATAGGAGGCATGCAGGAAGCAGCTGACCAATGTTTCTCTCCCATAGATGTTTCTGTCTCTCTCCCTCTTCCTCTAAAACATCAACAAAAACAAAAAAAAAGATATATCATTAAGATAGTTTAGGTTAGGCCACATTAGCAAACAACCATTAAATCTCATGACAGCAATTAAGATTTGCTTTTCACTTGTGCTCATGGTGGTTGGTTTCAGTTACGTTCCATGTCCTTTTCACCTTGGGACCCAGTTTGACAGAGTAGACGCCGTCTGGACCAGTGCTGGTGTCCTGCAGGAAGAAACCTCAAGCTGACTCTTACAATGAGGGTCTATCTACTCTCCTTGCGTGGGTCATGTGGCCACCCTGTGCACAGCAGGGCTGGAACGTATCATCCTACATGGAGAGGTATGGCAGGTCACATGGCCACGCCTAACGTCAATGGGCAAAGGTGATAGTGCGCCTCCAGGACGCCCCGGTTAATATTGTCAACTCTATAATACAGTCACCACAGGAGGCAGCTCAGACAGGCGGTCTTCCTTGAGCTGCTGTGGATGTGGGGGGCTTGTCCCTTTAAGAATGCTATAGAATTTCTGATGTTGGCATACATTGACAGCTTCCCCCGAGATGTGCTCAACACTGACTGCATGCTGACGATGGAGGCAAACCAAGGTACTGCAGAGTTCTCGTTCTGGCCAGCGGCTGGAGGGACCCAGACCAGCACAGAGCCCCTGGGTCAGGAAAGGCGTGGATGTGGGGCAGAGTGGCTACGTCGTTCAGGCTCAGGCGTGGCTTAGGCTACGGTGAACCGACTGTCCCTGGCTGCCCAGGACTGAGCGGTTTCCCTCAACAATGTCAGGCACAGCCGGCCAACTGGTCACCCTATCACAGGTGCTCTTCATGCTGTCCCTTTTTTTCAACATTGGCTTCTGGTGAAGTTGGGTTAAGGAAATAGGTTGATTCACTGTGTAGCATTTATAATCCCTGATTGGATCAGCAAAGTATGGGAGTGTGTGTGTGTGTGTGTGTGTGTGAGAGAGAGAGAGAGAGAGAGAGAGAGAGAGAGAGAGAGAGAGCGCGCCCCTGTGCCTTTATCGGGGAAGGAAAAGCTCATTCTGTGGCAATGGATATTGCTTATGGTTCATCCAATGAGGCAATTGATGCTGCTGGTAAGTCACCACAAGCAATCCACCCTGGAACAGACATGCCCTCTGAAAAGCCATAATTTGATGGTTGATGCCACTCCATGCCTCTGGGCCTCGTTTTGCTTCTAAGACAATAGGGCAGCGTCAGCTGGCAGATGGCAGGCCAAGTTCTTGAGACACCCTCACCTGTAACCACTGAATGTCAAAAGTTTACAGCAGAAGCACTTCATCACAGACCCGTGCACCGTCCCTTCCGCTAATCCCTGCTGTCGTCACCAGCTTCGTGGTCATTTTCTCCTCCGCCCTCTGCCCCGAACCTCCCTGTACACCAGCCACTGCCATTCAGTTTATGGAGGGAAGTGTCCGCTTCCATGGACTTCCAACCACCTTGTCCCTGATGGTTTGCATTCTGGTCCACCTGGCTCTGCCCATTCTGTGGAAGAAGGAACATGTTGGCTGAATTTCAGAGGTGTCCTGCTCTTACAGGTTCTCCAGGTAAGACAGTTGGTCTGTCCATCTCCTGCCACTCATTCCACTTGGGGGTTGGTGAATAACAAAACCTTATGCTTTTCCCATTGGGAATGTACTCGCCACCTGTCAACTATCATGAGGACTGCTATTTCAGCTCCAAGATCTGTACTAAGTTATAAGGTTAACCCCTTACAAGGGGAGGGATTCCAACCAGCGGGGGTTATACTCCAGGGACCTCCCAGAGGCATGACTGGGAGGAGGCCAAATTAAGACAGCAGTGAATTTGTAGGCACATTTTCCTTTTTTTGTCTCTGAGAAGGGATTTATGTTTTCCCTATAAAATCTGTATCTTTGACATATGAAAGGCTTGTATCTGCTACCCAATCTTCTGCAATGAGAAGACAAAACAGGATGTGGCATATAAGCCTTGGGTATTGGGCTCATTTAGAGGTCAGAGCTTATCTCTCCACCTCCCATAACTATATGCATCAAAACTAACTACAAGTTGGAGATGAGGACAACCAAAGTCCATTTTCTGCTATTCAGAAATGCCTCTATTTTTACCTGATCTTGGAGGTTTGGTGTGTATTGAATATATTGTTTCACTTTTTCTGCTCCGTGGCCTCCCTGTCAAGCTGCTGTTGATCTATGAACACATATGTAAGTACATTAGAAGTGTTCGTTGTTGGTAGAACCATGAATAAATTTTTCTGTAATTTTAATAATCACAATGTTAATTATCTATTTTGGGAGTTAGGAATGTCTATCATATACATATATATAGTATGTTTACATAGTATGACATATAATACATATGGACATCTCTATATATAATGCATTATATAGAGAGTTTGAACATCTTTCTCATCTATATCCTCCCCACCCTCTGGATTCTCTTTGATCCTCACTCCCAATAGGGTAAAACTATCTGCTCACAACTTTGTTCACCTGTCAACTCCTTCATTTTTTGGCTCTATGTTTTTTTCTCTCTTTTCTTTCTAATTGCTGGTTACCTCCTAATTGCATATTTATTTATATATTTAATGCACAAAATTCATGCAAAGGACTCGGCTCCCGCAGCCCCAGCTTCAGCTTAAAGGTCATCTGGAATGCTTTTATTGTTATAGATTTTTAACCAGCACACAAAAAAAATGTTTATTAGAAGGATACAATAGTAAACTCATAAATGAAGGCTTCTTCCCTTTTAAGTTGGATATGATTTATTACTCATTATTATTTAACTGAATTTATTAGGGTGCGTTAGATTATAGGTTTCAGGTGTACAATTAGATCATATAGGTTTCAGGTGTACAATTCTATAATTATCTGTATATTGCAGTGATATTCAACCGGTGTGCACAAGAGTGTTTAAAACATGCCATACCTGACTAGTTAGGGACACTGATGTTTTCTCTCTTAGATTATCAAATTAAAAATGACAGCAGCCAACACAATAGCCATCTGGTGTGAATGAATCAAAATTATACCTATATATTTTGGTGTGCTGCAGAATTTCAGTAATTAGTTTATGTGTACCATGAGATGGAAAAGGCTGAAAATCGCTGGTATATTGTATCATGTGCTTACCACCCCATGTCCAGCCTCCTTCCCATTTTTTGTCTCTATGTTGATCAGATGTCTCTATGCCCAATTTTAAGAAGTTTCAGGTGAGAAGGAAGCTATTAGCCAGAATAAATTCAACTGCCTGGCAACTAAATCCATGTTACTGTCTCCTGGTGTCAACACCGATTCTGGGTCCTGTGCTTCATTCCTGACCTTTGGCTTTTGACTTTTATTCAAATGGGTGAGTGCTGGTTACCTCCTGTCGGTGGTTTTTCCTGTCAGTCTTGACTCTGCCCATGGGTCATACAGCCACGCTACAGTTTCTACATCCAAGGCAAGCAATGTCTGTTTTAAAATGTAGATTTTGTTTTCATTCTGGTATGCCGAGGCCAACAGTATATTGGAGAAAAGACAGTATATTGCTCACAGTTCCCAAGAGAAGGGGCAATCATACTACAGAGGCAGAAGAGAGAACACCAGGGCCAGTCACAGGCAGAGGTGGAGAAAAGGGGAGAGAAGGAGAAAGAGGTGAAGAGAAGACACCGGAGTGGATGAGTAGGTTAAGCAGGTTTAGGGTTGGTTAGTTTGAATAACGACATGGGCTCTAGGGTGCAGGGGTTGCCTCTAATTGTCTGATGCTGAGCTCTGAGATGATGGGCAGAGCAAGCAAAGCAGGCGGTGGGGGGACGTGGGCCCTGGATTAGTTAGCTTGCATACTAAGCGAAGGAGAGAGCGTGGGGATGGGAGGAGAGGACGCTGTTTTCTATCTCTAGGAGTTTTATGAAGCCTCTTACCCTGGGAGGGGCAAGCCTTCTCTAGTCTGCAAGGCCCCAGATATCCAAATCTCAGGCACAGAAACTTAAAAACATGGTTAATCAATATTTTAAACACATTCTGTCCTTCACAGGCAGGAGTTGGCATTAGTGATCCACCCAAATCCAGTACTTGGTGATATACTGGTGGTCACTTGGCTCTGGATTTGCCACCTGGTCATTCATAATAATATTTAACACTTATTCTGCCAGTGCTGCAATGGCAACTACAATGGTAGATTGGTTGTAAAAATGGCCCAATAGCCAGAACCGGTTTGGCTCAGTGGATAGAACGTCAGCCTGTGGACTGAAAGGTCCCAGGTTTGATTCCAGTCAAGGGCATGTACCTTGGTTGCGGGCACATCCCCAGTAGGGGGTGTGCAAGAGGCAGCTGATCGATGATTCTCTCTCATCGATGTTTCTAACTCTCTATTCCTCTCTCTTCCTCTCTGTAAAAAATCAATAAAATTTATATATTTTTTAAAAATGGTCTAATACTCTGTCCCTCCCTATATCCATGTTCTTTGTCATGTGACTTTGTAGCTCCTCCCATCAAGAGGGAGTTTCCCCTTCCCTGGAATCTGGGCGGGCCATGTGCCTTGTGCGGAGGAACAGAACACAGAAGTGATGGTTCCACATCCAGGATTCCGGAGGCCTTGGACACTTCCACTCATTCTCTTGGAACCCCCTCTGAAGAAGCCCACACTAGCCTGCTGCTGGAGGAGATGACCTGGAGGAGCGTCCAGTTGCCCCAGCCTCCAGCCTGCTGTTCCCCAAACAAGTGAGAGCTCAGCCACGATTAGCAAAGCTGTCTACTGGCCCTGCAATGAACCATCAATGTATGAGTGAGCCCATCCAAGACCAGAGACCTGCTCAGGTGACCTGTGGATCTGTGAGCAATGGTAAATGCTCTTTGTAGCCTTTCTGTGGGTTTGTTTTTCTAAAGGGGTAGATACTTTTTATACATGCTTTTTCTCATATATTTTGTTTGTTAAAAGTGACAAGAAAATTCTGAGATGTCCTAAATTACAACAGGCCAGAGGGTGGAAGGAAGAAATGGAAAAGGGGGGTTATTCAGTTAACAATTGCAGCGCACAGCCAAACAAAAGACTGCTCAGGCCTACCTGGTTTGGCTCAGTGGATAGAGCTTCAGCCTGCGAACTGAAGGGTACCAGTACATTCCGGTCAAGGGCACATGCCTGGTTGTGGGCTTAATTCCCTGTAGGGGGCGGGGGTGCAGGAGGCAGCCAATCAATGATTCTCATTGATGTTTCTATCTCCCTATCCTTTTCTGAAATCAATAAAAATATATTTAAAAACAGCCGAAACTGGTTTGGCTCAGTGGATAGAGCCTCGGTCTGCGGACTGAGGGGTCCCAGGTTCGATTCCGGTCAGGGGCATGTGCATTGATTGCGAGCACATCCCCAGTGGGGGTGTGTGCAGGGGGCAGCTGGTTGATGATTCTCATTGACATCTCTAACTCTCTATCCCTCTCCCTTCCTCTCTGTAAAAAATCAAAATATATTAAAAAAAAAAACTATATATATATATATATATATATATATATATATACACACACACACACACACAATTAAAAAAAAAACACCTGCTAGCACTTCTTAGTGTGCATTGGAATCATTAAATTAACTTCCAGATGGCTATTTCTAGACGATCTAATTAACTCCCACGAGGCCATTTCTGAGATCACCTGAAAGGAAAGGATAGCCAGGCATCCACCAAACGCCAGGAGCTTCCACTTCTTGTTCACTGACCCTGCTGCGCCTGTCCCAGGACGAGCCCCACTTCACCTGCTCCCAGCCACCCGTTTGTCTATGGCTAATAGAAATCCTCTCAGACTGGCTTATCCTACCTCCTACTTTGGCAAGACTCTAGGACTAAGAACATGTCTGTCTTTTCTACCCTGTTTCCCCAACTTGTCTGTCTTTTCTACCCTGTTTCCCTGAAAATAAGAGTGTCTTATATTAATTTTTGCTCCCAAAGATGCGCTAGGTCTTATTTTCAGGGGATGTCTTATTTTTCCATGAAGAAGAATACAGTATACATTTATTGTTAAATGAAAATAAAGGAAATTTATTACCTGTATACGGCACAGTAGTACGGTAGTTGTCAACACAAACCAGACAAACTGAATCCTACAGTATCAAGAATTTACTCATTTATTTAATGACAATCATGTCATCTTCTGGAACATCATCATAACAATCCAATTCCTGAATTTCTTGTGACTCCATTTCTTTCAGAATCGGTGGACCAAATCTCTCATGTTTAGCCTAGATGGGGCCTTATTTTCGGGGGGATGCCTTATATTTCACTCAGAAGGAAACCTGTAAGTAGGTCTTATTTTCAGAGGATGTCTTATTTTCGGGGAAACACGGTATTAGCCTTGCTGCTGGTGGTTTAGCCTTGATGCCCAAGACCATCATCTTTTTGCTAGCAATGGGCCAATAAACACTTTATTTTAAAAAAGACTTCAGCTGCCCTGGTTGGTTTTGCTCTCAGTGGGTAGAGCATCTACCTGCAGACCAAAGGGTCTCATGTTCAATTCCTGGTCAAGGGCATTCCCAGTAGGGATGCATCTGGGAGGCAACCAATCAATGTGTCTCTCTCATATTGATGTTTCTATCTCTTTCTCCCCTCCTCCTTTCTCCCACTCTCTTTAGAAATCAATGGGGGAAAAATCCTCAGGTATAGAAGTTAAAATTTTTGTTGAACAAAAACATGTAGAACTATATTTTTAGACAGACTTTATTGTTTTTTTTATTTATTTTCTTAATAAAGAGAGGAAGTGAGAGGGATAGAGAGTTAGAAACATCAATGAGAGAGAAACATCGATCAACTGCCTCCTGCACACCCCCCACTGGGGATATGCCCACAACCAAGGTACATGCCCTTGACCAGAATCAATCCTGGGACCTTTCAGTCTGCAGGCTGATACTCGATCCTCTGAGCCAAACCAGTTAGGGCAAAGACTTTATTGTTTTTTAGAATAGGAATTTCTGAAAAAGTACTAGACTAGCAGCTTAATCAGGGTTGTAATAGAAGAGTATTTCCTTGCACTGGAAATAAAAAAAATAAACTGAGTCTGATGTTCAAAAGTAATATCCACTTGAACAGGCGGCTGGTAGGGTGATTCCCATGTACTGCTGGAGGAAGGATATGGTAGAAGACAAGTTGGCATTATTATAAAAGGTCTAAAAAATAAGCATGCACTTTGAATGATTCTAGTTTTAGGAATTTATTGTGTGATAATAAAAGATGGGCAGAGGAATTGACCCACAAAGCTGTTCATATTTGTTAGGGTCCCGACAAGAAACAGATGGCACACCGACTGGGTAAGTGTGGAGAATTGAATGAAGGACTATTATACAGGCCTGAGCAGGGTGAAGGGAAACCAGAGAAAGGCAGAGCGTTTAAATTAGCAGGGATGGGGACATCACTTAGGATGTCATCCAAAGCATAAAGGTACAAGGGGGTGGCTGTTACACAACCCAAGGAGAGAAGCCACAGGAGAGAATCGCCTACAGATGCGCTTCAGGTCTTGTGTTCAAGCACTTAGCCAATTAGTGCTTTAGGGAGGAAGCCGGGGGAATAAGCACTCTTGCCCCTTCCTTTTCCCATTATCTGATTTCTTGCTGGTGCCTTCCCCACTGGCCGACCCACAGGAAGCGGAGAGGGTAGAAGGCCAATGAGTGATTCTTGCAAAGGTCAGTTTCCTGGAGCAAACAGCATGGCGGGTAAAGGCAAAGCAAGGGCCAAGGGCTAATAAACATATATAGCACCATGTTTGGTGTAGCATTGCTTATAATAGTAAAATATTGGGAACCACCTAACTGTCCCACATTAGGGAATTTGGTGAACAACTTAGACTAGGTTAATATCTTGGAATACAATGCCACTATTAAAAAAAATGATGTTTGAAAATATTTTATTATGTTGAAAAGATGTTTATATACATTGTTGAATGAAACAGAAAATTTTGTGTATATTCAGATCCCAGTATTCTATCGGTGTTGTGTGTGTGTGCGTGCACATTTATGCATTTAAAGTATCTGGA